AGGACAGTACACAACATACAAGCCTATTTTCAATTAATTGGAATTGTTTACAGTAGTATAGGCTTTATATTTTGCAATAGTTAGTGTTATATTAATAGAAAAATTACCCTCGATAATTGCTTGTAATGAGTAGAATTCATTTTCAGTACTGGCCAAGGGTAGCAATGAACCAACCTTCACATCATTACTGGACATAAGATTAGGATTCATAAGATATGCGGCATTTATCGTGGCGTCGGGAGTTACAGATACGGGTGGTTTGTCGAAGCTGAGTCCAATCATATCACCTACTTCAAATGGTATCCATTCCGATTTAGGGAGATGTAAGGAGTCCGTCATACCGACGGCTATGGTTGAGTTGATGTGGGTGCGTCCGACCAGCTCATACTGGATGACCTCCCCCACTAACATCAGTTGGCGCCGCCAAACTGTTGCTGTGAAAACCCCAGATTGCACGTTGAACCACTTCCACCCTTTAATGAACCCTCTGCATGGTAGGGGGCTGCTCAAATCTATCACGATGCGGTTTTCAGTAGCTCTCGCCGAGTTTCCAGGGTCCATAATTTTGCCATGCACATCTGGACAAACTTGACTCGAACCCATTAGACCTACTGAAATTGTAAATGAAAATTTTATTTGCGGCGAAGTTGGACAGCCGAATTAATCGATCAAAATAATTATCAAAAAGAACTGTTGATTTTCGGGAGTAAATACGATACGTATTATAACATTATGATAACTTTCCAGTTTCCTGTTATTCATGTCACCACTATCATTTTCGCTTAGGCATATACTGCCCATAGTTAAGTGAATATATGTTTATTTGTTTATATGTTGTATGTTGGCATGGAGCTTTCTATATTTTATATTTGTATGTCTATTCTCCGATCCGGATGGGTTTCTTATTACAGTAGCCTACATCATACTCTATGAATATTTATGTAGATGATTAATTACTGTAATTTTTGTTCAAAAGACATTAGAAGCCATCAGTCAATGATTTTATGTAATATTTGTAACTCGTACTATCATAGACGCTGTGTCTATACTGATGATAATGCCAATGTAGACTGGATTTGTTTTAACTGTACTGGAACTATCTTTCCTTTTAACCATTTCGCTGATGATGACGAATTTAAATTTGCCGCATTCAGTTTTAATAATAATATTGAGTATAATAGAATGTTAAATATGAAACTTAATCCATTTGCTCTCAATGATGTCATAAATAACGCTAATACTTTAATTGATTATGATATACCCCATTCGTGTTTTTACAATTTTGATAATACTATCTCGGTTTCGTGTGATGAGCATGATTTTTCAATTTTGCATATAAACTCGCGTAGTTTCAATAAAAATGTCGATCAGATTACTGCGTTCCTTACAAGCTTAAATCACACCTTTTCGATTATAGCACTCCCAGAAACATGGTTTAAAGAGGATGGTTCCTATGGAATTTATATAAATAACTATCATTAAATTACTGCACCTCATTGTGAAAGAAGAAGTGGAGGTGTTGTTATATATGTTCAGAAATTAATATCGTTTCGAATCAGGAATGATTTAATATTGATCGACCAACCATCAGAGCATATAGACCATCCTGAATCTATTTTTATCGAAATATTGGTTCCTGGCAAGAAAAACATTATTGTTGGTAATATCTATCGTGCACATCGTACTAATACTGACAGATTTCTTGATGATCTTACGAATTGTCTTATAAAAATTAGTTCTGAAGAAAAACAGTGTTATATATCTGGTGACTTTAATTTTGACCTGTTACATTCTAAAATTACACTATAAGTGAGTTTCTTTCTATTTTTTTTTTATAATCATAACATGTTTTCTCTTATCGACAGACCCACCAGAATAACACCTACTACAGCCTCTTTGATTGATAATATTTTTACCAATGTTTTTTCCCATAATATCAAATCAGGTATTGTTGTCGCCGATATCTCTGATCATTATCCAATTTACCAAATCACCATATCCAATCCCATTAGTAATATCAGTACCTCGAATAAGATCCCTACCCGCTTATTCAACCAAACTAGAGTTCATATTTTTTATAATGATCTGAGCACTATTGATTGGACCTGTATTACTGGATTGGAATCTCCTGATCTTGCGTATATTCATTCGTAAATTCACAGAGGTTTACAATATACACTTTCCTTTTTCTTTTAAGCAATCCAAGAATTCTCGTCGTCGTATTCCTCAAAAGCCTTGGAATACCGCAGCGATTTTAAAGTCTATAAATCGGAAAGGAAAGCTGCATAAAAAGTATGTAAACAACCCTACTGTAACCCTAATGTAACAAAACTTCCTATGTTAATTACCGAAATCAGCTTACTTATTTAATCAGAAATTCTAAACGGCAATACTGTGCCAGAAAGCTAGAGGAAACAAAATTTAATTCAAAACAAACTTGGAATATTCTAAATAGCATTATGGGTCGACTAAATAAGGCTAAACCAATCTCATCTTTTTATAAAATAAATGATATGCATATTTCTGATCCTCAAATTATTGCTGATAATTTTAATAAATATTTTGCTAACATTGGTCCTGAATACTCGCGTAAAATTCCTCAGCCTGATATTACTTTCAAAAGTTTCATTAATAAAGTTAAATCTCCGCTTAGATCTTTCTTTTTTTTCCAAATGTTACAGATGAAATACTCTCAATAGTTAGAAATTTGAAATCTGGTGTTAGTAGCGGCTTTGATGATATTAAGCCTGATCTTGTTAAATCAGTTGGTGAACTAATAGCACCTCCACTTGTTCACATTTTTAATTTATCCTTAACTACTGGAACTGTTCCAGAGAAACTGAAAATTGCCAAGATAACTCCTGTTTTCAAAAGTGGGGAGACTGATACCTTTGGTAATTATAGACCCATCTCGGTCCTTCCCGTTTTCTCCAAAATTTTAGAACGCATTATCCATAAAAGACTCTATAACTATCTTTCTCGACATAATTTATTGCATAATAACCAATTTGGCTTTCGCCCAAATATGTCTACTGAAATGGCTATTTTACAGGCATATGATAACATTATTTCCGACCTTGACAAGAGGAAACATGTTCTTGGAATTTTCTTGGACCTTTCAAAGGCATTTGATACCATAAATCACAAGATTCTACTCTGTAACTGCATCATTATGGTATTCGTGGTATCGCCTTTGAGTGGTTCAACAGTTATCTTAGTGATAGAATGCAATATGTTTCTTTTAACCACCATAAGTCAACATATTTAAATACTTGTTGTGGTATCCCCCAATGCTCAATTTTAGGCCCTTTACTCTTTATTATTTACATAAATGACTTGGCAATAAGCACTCAAATATTATTCTATTCGCCGACGACACAAACTTATTAATTTCTGATGATAATTTAAACTCTCTAGTTGAGAATGTCAATTACGATCTTTCTATTATTTCATGCTGGTTTAAGGCAAATAAGCTATCACTTAATGTTAATAAAATCAACTATATGATTTTTAAAAATAGATATAGTAACCGTACTTTCAAGGACCTTAATATTACTATTGATGGTAATAATATTTTGCTTGTCACTAGGTGCAAATTTCTTGGTTTAATAATGGATGAATGTCTAACTTGGAGTCAACATACAACTTATATTGCAAATTTAGTTTCAAAATATTCTGGTATTCTCTTCAGACTAAAGCCAATCTTACATGTTAATGTTTTATCATCTTTATATTAGACCTTAGTTCTTCCTCATGCATATCCAATATTGTACTTTGATTTGGGCTGATCGTAATAATTGCTGTCTTGAAACTGTTTATCGCAAGCAAAAGCGCATAATGCGTCTATGTACAAATTCACAATTCCATGAACATTCACCACCATTATTTTTCAGTCTTAAAAATTTAACTGTGTATGACATTCATAAGTTACCTAAAGGTATTTTTATGAATAAATTTAAAAATAATTTATTAGCAGTTAATCTTCCAAATTATTTTGTTAAAGTAAATTCAGTTCATGATTATGGTACCAGGTCCTCTGATATGTACCGTCCACATACTTTTGTTACCGATATGGCCAGAAATACTATCCGAAGGCATAGTCCGATTCTATGGAATAATATTGATGCTTCTATTCGTAATTCAATATCTGTCAAAATGTTCAAAATGATGTATAAAAATGATTTGTTGTTAACATATCAATAAGGATCCTTTATATATTTACATTCATGCATACTTTTATTTAGTTCATATCCTGTCAAAATGTTTTTTGTCAATGTTGTCTTGTATCACGTTATGTTTGTCCGTGTAATTGTCAATAATTTTGCTTAGGTGGCCAATGGTATACGAGCTCTGCTCTTTTGTTGGTCATCCTTCCTTTGATCAATACATGAAAATGTTAAATTTTTGGAAAAATAAACTGAAACTGAAACTGTATCGGGTATGACCCTTGGTCTTATCGTGTGTTGATCTCCCCTACCCCTGTACATAGATCATCTTGTGTCTTTTCTTACTTTTGTACTTCATCAATGCATCACTGAGCTTTTCTGAATATTTGGTGCAATTTTAATTTCATTGATTGATTAATCGTCAACACAGAGTGAACACATGGTCGTTTACTCTGTGTACACTCATTTTTAAAGGATTGGTACCATAGCAAATATTAATATTATTATAAGTATTATTATGCTTATTAGTGAATAATACTGGCGCGAGGCACCCAACAACCAACTGGTGAAGGAAGGCAGCACAATCTAAACAACTCTCTTCTGGTGAAGGCTTACGATAGCGGTCCGATAAATTACCCAAATATTATAAAGGCCTATATAAATGCAAATCTCCCAAATTAAAACTCAAATAAATCGGAATTCTCAAATGATATAAAGAAGAAAAATGTTATACACGTATAAATATGCTGGGCCATGAATGGTTAACAAGCTAAGACTTTCGAGAATTACAGTAAACGAATAAATACCTCCAATTCTAAATAAATAAACACGCAAAATGTGATTAAACGAATAAATAATTAAATTTAATAAACAAACTACATTAGAAATGTAATAATATTAAAATAATAAATATGCTTGAAAGATGATTAACTTAGTCTATATTCATGAATATGATAACATATGACATAACATTTCTTTTATATTTCCGTTAAATTTAAAAATCTGACCTCAACATAAAAAGAAATAGAAACTTTTGAAATGAAATAATTTGGAGAATCGTATACAACACATAAAACCAATCTTCTATTATTCGAGCAGAAGTAACTACAGCTATTGGAGAACATCTTCTTGACACAGAAAACATAAACACTCTTGGTTTGGTCATAATGCAAGAGCAACACATATTCTCCCCCATACCATCCTTCAAGGCCAGCGGAGTAACTAAGTGATGGTGGGCCCCAGTGCAAGAGTACTTGCCGGGCCTTTTTATTTGAAGCGTCAATCACGGCCGTCAGGCCTATGACTGGCGGACCGGAACAGTGACCACAAACGGCCACAGATTGTATTCGAACAAATCATTTTAGGAAGTGCTTTCTTATTTTTTATTACCAACTCCTATATTTTAGCTCATTAACATTACCCACAAATTTTCAATTCATTCATTTTTTAATGAATATTCTGCTATTAAATTTATTTAATATGGTGACCAATATGAGAGAGGGAATCTTTATGAATAATTGACTGTTTTTACATTGACTATACAGTATACTTCTAATTTAATTAAAGATAAAATGCTGCCTATTAAAACGATGTAACAATATGAAATTTATGAATATAAGCCTTAAGTAACATGCTCTTTGAATTGCAAATATCGAGAACCTTCCAGTTATTGCTTAAATTAAAAAACACTATAAAACAATTTAATCGTAATATGGACCTAATACTCTTAAATACGCACACGTATACTGATCATATCACTATAGCAACCGATGACTGCTACAACAGTTGGTTATAGAAAACTAAAATTAAAAGACGGCGATTGACTTATAAAGCAATTAGTAGAGCATGCATCGTACACTAAATGGAAAATTATTGTACTTAGGTAAGATTTAATGCATTCAAAAATTTTTTCAAGCATTAAATCTAACCGTCGTATAATAATTTTCCTATAGTGTACTATGCGGAGCTCTACTAATTGCTTAATATACACAAACAGATGCATGTTGCCCGTTTAGTAATTTTTCAGAGCCAGACGTTAAAAAGCGCGATCAATCAATATTCTCATCGTAATAAGACTATTTAATTATAGTGTTCTGCAAATTTCTTTAGAATGTTTTCCAGGTCAATGTTTAATTTTTAAGTTAATGTACTGTAGGCCTACTTGCTTACGGTACACATAAATGTGAAATAAACTCATCAGCTATTTAGGCCTATAGGCCTACACGCTTCTCGAAAATAGAAGTAAACATCAACCCATTATTCAACAAATTGTAATTGTTTATGCTACAGTTTTCTGTACTAAAATTTAATAAAGGGAACATATATAGTGTGTCAGGAAGTGGCCAGGTCTGTCACACTGTCAACTCCAAGAGATAGCCAGGGACAGACAAGCATGGAGCGATCTGGTCCATGGTTGCTCATTATATAGGCCTACGCCCCTACGCTCTACCAGGTCAATTAAGGGATAACTACAACTAGGACTATACCTCAATGTAATCTAACGGTGTTCCCCTTGGCCCTTATAGAAACATTCTTATAGTAATTTAGTTCACTTTAGATTGACCTTTGTGTATGTTATAATCTTTGTAGGGCATAATAAGTAATTGAGTGTACGTTGCGTTGGTGATTATGTAATAAATAAAATCAATAGGGTAGTCTTATATTAGTTGAGTTTGAAAAAATGTTCCTAATATAAATGATGACGAATTCATTTAAGGATTTGTACATGTAGAAACGTTCTCTGTACATCTAAAATACATTATCATATATCGAAATCATATTACCATTAATTGAACATCTTTTGTTGACGTATTCAAATTTGACATTGTAATTAATAATAATAATAATAATAATAATAATAATAATAATAATAACAACAACAACAACAATAATAATAATGGAAATAATAATAATAATAATTAATAATAATAATAATAATAATAATAATAATAATAATAATAATAATAATAATAATAATAATAATAATAATAATAATGATGATGATGATGATAATAATAATACTGTTTTTATATGGCGCTCTTACAACTAAGTCTCAGAGCAATTTTCCACATTATTACCCCAGTCATTTGAACTATGCCTATAGGGGAAATTCCATACTTTGCTGCATAAAATATATCAGCGCATCTAGCACTCGAACCTCCTCAGGTAGGTGGAGAGAAGCAATTCCGTTAAAGTACCTTGCTCGAGGACACAGCGAGAGATTGCAACCCCGACCTCAGGTTGGGAAACCAACCCGTTCCCGCTGCGCCAAACCACTTTCTATTATGTACAGCTCATTTATTCAGGAGAGAAAGTTTAGAAACGTACACAAAAAATATATTATTGTCAGGAACAGAAGAGAGATAAACATCAACAAATATGCAAGGACCTAATATTCTGACGTCTAAACACCGAGGAGATAGATTTGTTTTGTTTGTTTGTTTGTTTTGTTTTATAATGTTATTTTTTTTCAATGAACTTCGATTATCAGTAGAAAGGTGCATCTTCAATATACACATTTTATAGAATGAATTGTCTATTTAAGATGGAAGTCATACCACTATATCAAACATATATAACTGAATGCAGAGTACATCTTGAAGCCTTATGAGATACTTGGACTGAACAAGATTGGTACAAATGTAATGCAAATAATGAAAGCAGATGGGATTTGAGCTGCTTTGAAATGGTGGGGGGAGGGGTGGGGCTTGGAAGGTAAAATTTTAGGGGGAAAAGTAGAACCACATGTTGCAATTATCACTCGACTCTAGCATGTATGTTTCAAGCGGCATCATAAATGCTAAGAAACGTGTCCAACTGGCAGTGTCTTAACAATATACTAGATTAAGGGAAAATTAACGTTGTTGGTATTCGCTAAAGTGATTAATATGATTGGGGAGCGGAACCGGGGTGGGGGTGGGGGGTTGGAAAGCAGGTAGGTAACACTAACGTTATCCTTTTAATCAGAATGCCGCGAGAAATGAATAATCTAACAATAGAACTTTACCATAACAGATACAAAAATGGTGAGTTACCAATGGGCATTTATATAGAGCTTCGTCTACTCGGCAATGAACGTCCGGTCTACTTGAGTTGTCATGAAAAGTTATGAGAGGGATAAACCGAACGCAAAAACTATTTTGCTTAAAATCAGTACCTTTCTTTTTCTTTTGACAACTTGTATATAATAATCCAGTGTTTGTAAGTCAGGACCTTATTGTATTTGTATTAACAATGTATTTCGTTTCAAGGTCTTTGTATGTTGTATATTGAACATGATATCCTGAATAAATATTTTGCAAATAAAAAATAAAAACAATAAATTAAATAATAATAATGATAATAATAATAATAATAATAATAATAATAATAATAATAATAATAATAATAATAATAATAATAATGATAATAACGTAAGCTACGTTCACATCAAGTCTGCGTTCCAATCAAAAGTCGTAGTAATGGATAAAATGATTGATTGATTGATTGATTGATTGATTGGATATTATATAGGCCTAGTAGTGCTTACGAATGTGTTCACACAAGAACGATTATTGTTTTTATTTTGTGAAACGAAAATGAAATACTTGGGATGTAGGCATAATATGAATAATAATGTAAAAGTAAAGAAAACTTACTTGAGGCTTTGCAGCAAACAGCTGCATACGAGCTTAAAAAAGAGACTATCCAACTTCTTAAATAAATCATCTTGAGCTAGACGGAATACTGGATCTAAATGTCAGTATTTGATCTTCTTATCGAGTCCATACACGAGTTCATCTGTAAAGCTAGTGGTAGGCCTATGTCGATTTATATCTAAAAACAGTATAAATCAGCATTTAATACGACATCCACAACTTACACAGAATATATCGATCCAGAAATTGAAGGAGACTGATGATTGGTGGCAACAATCGACACATTAATAGTTTTTAACTGTTGTCGAAGCAGCGTGTAGGGAGCAGAGCAGTCTCTTAGTATTGCACACACGTATCAAGTTTTCCAGTAAGCTATTTTTAATGGTTTTATTATAATCACAACATGTTGTAATCGTGCTTTATGTTTCAATGTATCCTTACATGCCAATCAATCAATGGGAGGCTTTAAATATTTAAACAACCGAGTATGTGGCTGTTTTTCAGTATAATATAGACATCTTTCGTCATCGTACTATTAATGTTTTAATAGCGTAACCTTGCATTGACGGAATTATTAGTTTTTTGCAAGGGTAACTTCAACATTAACCACCAGGTACAAAGAAATATATACAATAGTAACAAGACAGATAACTATTGAAACCAGGTGACGAGGCCAACAGAAATTAAATATACTTCGTGTATGTTGGCCCCGAGGGAAAGACCCTTGCAATACCTACCTAATTACAAAAAAAAAAAAAAAAAAAAAAAAAAAAAACAATTATCAGAAAATCATCAAAATCAAGTATGTAGGTAAGCTGAAGAAATTAATCTTTGAAGGAGGTCTTAAATGAAAAGAGAGAATTATATTTACATATTTCTTCGGGTAAGTCGTTTCTGAGCGAGTAACCACGTAAACGTTGTTAAGTATGATCCGTGGCGACTGAATGCTCTTTGTACTGTAGTCACAGGTTGATCGAAGTTTGAGAATGTGTTTGAATCAAAGATACTAACAACAATGTTTAGCCGCAAAACATCATGCCTAGACGAGATATTGTCACTCTACTTTGTTGCTCTTATACACATCTTATATAGTCTACTAATAGTCTACTAATATATAGAAAATAGACACCATTTTTTTTTATCCCCAACGAATTGTGGTTTTGTCTCTCCGGGGGTAGCTCTCCCCGAAAGGGGACCTGGCCCCGCTACCCCTGTCAATGACTCAATTTGGGATCTAATTACTCTGGTATGAATATTATTTGTAATAATACAAGAATTCAGGCGAAGTCATCGGTAAAATATTAGGTATGGAAAAGGACCAACATATTTCAGGTGAAACTATAACCAATAAAGTTATTGAGAAAGTAAATTCCAGAATAAAATTTATATCATCCAAAAAAGCTAAATATATGGATGAAGACAATGAAATTGCTTGTGTCAGCTTTGGTACAATTTCATTTAGACTATGCTTGTACATCTTGGTAATAGTAGCTTAACACAAAAACCTAAATCCAGATTGAAAATTTGCCAGTATAGATCGATTAGAATTGTTTTGAAACTACCCCTTGTACTCATATAAATTAAGTTTCAATCAATTGAAATGGATACTAGTTGAAAAACGTGCGACTAAATTAAAATTGGGAATAGTACACCAACTAATAAATTGCACGAGCGAGACATAGAACTTTCATCGTCGACAAGAGTACTTTTAGAATCACAGGGGTTTAGAATGGAACAAACTTTCGGCTGTCCCTCAGAAAACTTCCAGTATTTTAAATTTTTAAAGGTATTGTTAGGAGTAATCTGTTAAATATAGCATTTAAAATAAGTAATCATTTATATAAGACCATTTTATTTAAATTTTATCATGTTGAAGAAAATTATTTTATTGTTTTGCCAAGTGTTTCGAGGGAGCATCACAGTGGACATAAGTTTTAAATTGTTATCCTCGGAATTCTGTTTCATCGTGTTGTTTTGTATTGCGCGAGTTCAAAATAGTCAGTCAATCAACCAATCGACGACCTCACCTAGTTTCCTGTTTCTTTTCTCTATTTACTTTCAAGCCTACGTTGCGAAAGCGTCATGACCACTGAATGGTGGACAACAGCGTAATACAAGTTTCCAAAATGATTTAATCACAAACAGATAAACATGAACATAGATAGACCTATATAATATATATTGATAAGCTGGAATCAAGATTTAGCGAGGCTAGGGATAACTTTACCTTCAACATTGTTTAAATTGCAGTTTGCTTTCCAGAGAAGTCCGTGGGTCATTTTTTTTAAACGTTTGTCAGACACCCCAAGAATGGCCAAGACTCAAGTTAAGGGGTTAGTATAGTTCAAACGGTTGGGACAATGTAAAGTTTGCAAGATGAAAGGAAATTGCAAAACAATCAGTCGGCAAAGTATTCCAGAGAGAAGCCGAACGACGGACAAATGAATTTGAAAATGCGCAAGTTCTGCATTTCAGTAAGTTGAAGTTCAAATTGAAGCAAACCGTTTGTTCTGGAAAACATACGAACAGATGGCATAAATCGGAAGAGCTCATCAGAGCAATGGCGATTAAACTAACGATAAAGTAAACTTAGACAAGCAACATTGCGCCGATGAGCCAAAGGTTCCAACCTATAAGCCAGCTCTGGTCCAATCAGATTAATAACTCAACGTTGTATTTTATTAAGAAGAGCCTGGCTTTAACATAGTGACAGTACGCTGATTCTAAGATGGCATGCCTCAATATTATACTGAATATAAGACTCTGAACTCCGAAATAAGACAAACAATTGCGGTGTATATTAGTATTTCAGCATTTATATTTTCTATTAACTTTTCGAATTACCCAGTTCATTGGATGATAATACATCAATTTGAATAGCTCCATAGAGCATTACCACTTGCACCAAATCTTCAATTAGCCAATTCCACATTTAGGATTCTGCATTAAAAATTACTTATAGCTCAGAAGAATGCAATACCAATCACATTATCACCTACATAATGTTATATTGATCAGTAAATATATTTTTATATATCTATATTATATAATATATA